CATTCATGACACCCCCAAACATTTACGGATTTGAAAAAGAAACTATGATTGCGTGGGATTCCATGGTTGAGAAGTTGGACTCGTATTAATGATTTTTATTCTACACGGAGAGAAATTTTTGATAAAAATTATCTTACCGTTCTATAAAAGTCATCGTTTCCTTATTTCTATCCCGAAATTTGGTAAAAATTAATATATGATAATGAAATTTTATTCTACGGTAGAGAAATTTTATCCTCATAAAAATAAACATTACCGTGCCGGTAGAGTAAAAATTACTGTACCGGTAGTGTAAAATTTACTAACCGTTCTAGAATGTTCGTTGTTCTCTACATAAAAATTATTGGATTGGAAGGGTAAAATTTATCATGCATGAGGATAAAATTTCTCTAACGTAGAATAAAATTTGATCATCATATATTAATTTTTACTAAATTTTGGGATATAAATGAGGAAACGATGATTCATGATCAGAGCCGTACAGTTCCGAACTGCACGGCCCTGCTCATGATACACTTTTATAGAATGGTAGGATAATTTTGATCACAAATTTCTCTCCGTGTACATGAGGTTTGCTACATACAGTCGCAGAAGTGTCTCATCATCACGAAATGAAATGGTCAGTCGTTCATAATTCCTCTGAATATTGCCTGGCTGAATGGGCGACGCATTGCCCATTATGAGAAAATGTGGCACATGTTCTCTGGCTCTTGTTTCTATGAGATTATTCGACGGATACAGTGGGAAAAGGGTCCGAGTCATGATGGAGGGGTGCTTAATTGATGACATCTTCAGTGACACCACCCTCAAATCTAGATGAAACCCATAAATTCCAACTGCGCACTTCAGTTATCACTTTTCTGATTTTCAAACGATTTTCCGAACATCAGGGGCAAACGGTTTGATCTTCAGTAATTTTTTAATTGAATTGAACTCAGGTATATTCAACTGTTGTATACATTTTATACACTGTTTAAAAAAAAGACGAAATTTCGCGGAAAAAGAACTTTAACTTGATTTAAGGGAAAAAAGTTAACGAGATTCCAAGTTTTTTTGAAGATTCAGATAAACTCACAATTTTTTAATGGCAGGAAGATGGAAATTCCACTATTTACATGAATTCTTGCCACTTTTCCTGAAAATTGTGAGGAATTTGCAATTCAAGGACGTATTTCTCCCTATTTTCCTGATTTTTCACTAATTTTTCCAGAATAATTAAACTGAAATTTACGGTTTCTACGGATTTTTCCGGGAAATTATTTATTTCCAATTTCAAAATTCCGTGAAATTTCCGTGGAAATGTTACTGGTTAAAAATTTAAAAGTCTCTTAACTGAATTTTCCGGATTCCTTATATTTTTCATGGAATAATTGATCTAAAATTCAGAGTTTCATATGATTTTTCCACTACTTTCAATTTTCACTGACAAAATTCTTCAAAATTCCTACGAAATTCTCACTCGACAAAAATATCTGAGAAATGTACCGGATATTTTAGCGAAAAATATTAAAGAGTGTATTTTCGTAATTTTCTTCACTGAAATCCTCATCAATATTCATTTGGAATTTTTGGTATTTAGATTGAATTTTCCTTTATTTATTCAACCCGACTACTCGCCCCAATTCCTCTAATTTTAACACATTCCAATACCATTTGCGATTTTTTTCTGAATTGTCTACGGTGTTATTCATGTGATTGAGATTGACAAATTCAGTCAGTCATTGAAAACATCTAAATTTATCGTGTGGTCCATATGGAATGTAAAAGTAAACTTGGATATCTCTAAATAGAAATCCCGTTTGTCTCACGAAGAACCTCCTTCGTTCAATAAGTCAGGACTTATAGAGCCCCTGAATTATAGAAATCATATAGGATTCCCGAGAAAGGATTCCTTTACATTCCCAGTAAAAATACTTTCGTGAAAAATTACATTGGCCTCTGATGAGCATATATCTGCAGGAATACAGAAATGGCCTGAGTTCATCATATGGAGTATCCAAAAAAATTGAAAAATAGCGAGTATTTCCCAATAGGTTCGTTGCAAACGAACGAGTTTTTCAGATTAAAAAATCACGGATGCGAAGCACAAGTAATTTTTACGGAAAAACTCGACGACCTAGTTTGTGTGAAGGGAACCTTGCGGGAAATACCCAATTAATTTTGAAGCTCGAGTGATATTCGGGAGATTTTTTTCCTCCAAATTTCGGCCAAGAGAATTGAACCATGAGACGAAATCGATCTGCCAGTTTGGACGAGAGGTTTACTCGATTGACTGATCTTCTGTTTTTTACCTACATTATTAAAACGTGTGCTTGAAAAAGTCCCTTTTCGTTTACAGATTTTTGTGCATAAAGTGCACTGTTAGAAATTTCTTGAAATTTCAGTCACAGCGTCATCTGCATTTTCGATGTTGTGAAGTTGAATTCAATTTCAAATGAAAGCAGTCACTAAATTTCTCATTCATCTTGAAAATTCAAGAAAATTGGGTTTTTCATGTTAAGTAATCATTAATTTTTTAATGAAAGCTTGAATTTCCAAAGTCATCGTGAAAATTGAGCATCACATACAATTCAATTTGAATTTTTTTTTTATTGTAGCATCAAACCTGATGGGTTATTTACAAAACAAAAAAAATGGTACAAATTATCTTTTGTCTAATACTAACTACAGTAGACTCTCGTTATAGTCGCATTCGTTATAGTCGCATTTCCCCTCATATCGATTTTTTCGAGCTCGAGCGCCTCCCCCACTCCGTACCACCTCCGAGGTGTGGATTTAAATGCCCCTGTGTTTTCTCGGAATGGGCTTTGTTTTGCATTTCTAAGAAATTCGGGGAATAAAATTTAGGAAAAATGAATTTGCGAGAGAGAAATTCAGTTCACTCTTGACTGTCACGAAGAGAGGGTCTTTGCAGTGGTGCATAATCCTGCTTTTTATTTGAATGAAGTGAATAAATTTTGGAGTGTATTGAACAATGCGATGTTATTAATATTTCTATTCATTTCATTAATTTACTAAAAGTGTTCAACGCAATTCATTTTGTTAATTTAATAAAAGTGTTTAATGAAAATAATTTTTATATTTAATAAAAATGTTCAATGCAAATTGAAGAGAAAAATAATTGGAGTAAAATTTATTTTCTTATCGCTCCCGATTCCCGGAATTTAGGCTTACCGTGAGCGCCTGGTGGGGGAAGAGAAATACAGTCCCATTCTCAGAATCGGCTGCCCCTACAGCCCCGTGAGTGCGACTATAACGAGAGTCTACTGTACTTGGGTCTAGGTAAACTTTTAACATTCAGATTTTTATCTTACATCTTTTACCAAATTGATGAATGATTTTCAGTGGTTCTAAATTTTTGGCTACTAGGAATGCAGCTATGGTGAACGGTCTCGGACATCTATGTTTGTCAATTTGTAATAAATTAGGAATTCAGAAAAGTTGATGATTGAATGTTCAAAATTTTCGCGGTTTTTTAGTGCCGTATGGATCTGAAAATCGAGAATTACTTGAATATTCAAGAAATTAACTGATTCGTCACTGAAGAAATATACAGAAATTTCATGTAACTTTGTCGTTGTTAAAAACTCCAAGCGTTTTCACTTGAAACTTCAAAAGTAATTTTCTAATTATGTGGCACGTGACAAACAAAAAGTGACTTCTCGTTTACGCGGTTTTGAATTGTCCTGAAATTCAAAATCGATTATAGGTGTTAAAATGTTGTATACCTAACCTATCATATCGACACCTTGATAACAGTTAAGCGTAAGTTCTGTGAGTGCCCTATGTAGATAACCCTTGTCGTTAACTGAAAAACAATTTCTAATATCTAAAACATATTTAGGGGAGAGTGGGGTAAAACGGCCCCTTTTGATTTTTTCAAAAATGTTAACAGCTCATTCAATTCTAAATAAACTGAAATAATTTTTTTTCCATGGAAACAACACTTCTTTCTCTTTAGAATGAGCCTAGACTGATCTCAATTAATGAATTTTTTTCTGAGTTATGAGTATCACAAAAAAAGTAAAAAGGGGCGGTTTTAACCCACTTCCCCTTACTTGAAACAAGTAATTTTTCTTCCATCGCTTAATTCTCTCAGGCATCTCAATTCAAGTGCCCTGAGAAAGATCTCGTCTTGAAATATTCTTGTACTCAAGTATGGTTTTGTCGCAAATGGACTCACTCAAGTCGCGTGGAAGAATAGTTAATCTTCAAGTATTTACTGTTTTAATGATTTTTTTCTTTATTCACTTCCACTGTGTCCATATATAATATCACTATATTTTTCTTATTCCCCTAACGGGGAATGATAGTGATACATAAGAATTTATTCGAGTTACGTGAAGCGCAAACATTCTGAGATTTGAGCCGTTGAAGTGATTTACTTCTCTTAACTAAATATGGTTTACATATTAGAAATTTTTTTTCTCAGTGTATTAAGGTGTCCATATGGGTCTTCCCTAATATAGTTTTTTGGAGGGTTGTTTGGGACTCTTCACCAGCCTTAATTCTTGGAAGACCTGGAAACCTCCTAAACAGGACATAACTAGAATAATTCAGGAGTGAAGTGGTAAAACGGTACAAGTCAATTTTGATTATTAACTAGTTTTCAATGAATATCTCAGAATCTAAAGGAGATAACAAAATTTTTATAATAACCTTTTTTTGTAGAGCCGATTGAGAGCCACAACAAATGTAATTACGAAAATTTCGCTACCTCCCTTAGATTCAGAAATATTCATCAAACACTCAACTGGGAGATAAGTCGACTTAAACCGGTTTACCACTTCCCTACTGAATTCAGTTTCTTGAATCATCAGTCAAGTCTTTGATCCTCAATATTAGAGAAACTGTTTTCTTGTGTGCTCGGTTTCTACCGGCATTCCATTGCGAGTGATGCAAACTCATGAATAATTCTGCTTGTCATCCAAATCCACCAAACATCAAACATCGCAAATAATTTTCCCTCATCTCGTTTTTCTCGGTGGAAATGGAATCAGCTCTCAGCCTGCTGTGCGTGAAGACATTCTCCGACGGCAACACCATGCTGGAAGCACCGCCAGGCAGCCGGGAGGACCTTGTCGAGGCCGCGAGAACTCCCTGCTCACCCACAGGTACGTAATCCCATGTCAAATAAATTCCGATGAAAAACCCCATTACACGCCTGAACGTCTCCAAACCCCTAAATGTCTACGGAGAGAAAAATCACAGACATTTTGCAAAAAAAGAGAATGAAAAATTGTGGTGCTGTCCCGTGATTGTCCTGCCACTGGAAAAATATCGAATTCGGTAATGATGGACTGGTAAAAAGATTCGTGTAGGGGAGGATAGGTCAACATGGACCAGGCGGGCAAAATGGACCGCCGGGCTAAATGGACCCCTACACTGTTGGAAAAAATGAAATTTCATGGACAGTTGACTACCAATTTTCAGGACAGTGGCACTGAATACGATTTAGGGGGGAAAAAATAATAGAATTTCAGGTTTCACTGAAAATTCAGTCAAATTCGAGAATTTTAAGCAACATAAGGATGAAAATTCTTTAATTTATTTGAATTTCTAATCTAATATGAATATTCAGTGTCAAATCGCATTGAATTTTCAGTGAAATCGGAAATTTCACGACTTTTTCCCCTAAATCGCATTCAGTGTTATTGTCCTGAGAATTCAAGAATGTACACTCTAAAAAAAGATTACTTCTGATAAGTAGGAAAACTACTTGTATTCAGTACCGAGGCGTTTCTGGAGAAAAGCTAATTTTTTTACTTGGTCCAAGTCGAAAATCGACTGAATACAAGTTTTATGCTCCAAGTACAATTAGCACTGGTGACAAGTACCAACTGTACTCATCATCAGTACTGAAAGTACTTGTACTGAGTACCGAGCTGTACTTCTCAAAAGTAGAAAAAATACTTGAGACAAGTAGTAATAGTACTCAAATCCAGTACCAATGGATTTTCGCGGAATATTACAGTAAGATTCATCATACAATGGAGATCGTTGAAAAACGAAGAATTAATGCAAATAAAATTATTGTTTATTGTTCGTTTGCCCCTCAAATGCTTGAAAATTGAAATGTACTGGACTGCAGTCCAGTGTAATAACTTCTCGAGCTACAGAGATTTTTTTTTCAAAATTTTTCAAAAGATGTGTAGAATAACAATTACCAATTAAGTTTTCCAAATTT